AAAACAACGCATTTAAAAGCATTTCAACAGAATGTATCTAACAAAGATTAAGGAAAGTATCTACAAATATTAAAATTATTTAAAAGTACATCTTCAATCCAATTACAAAGGCTCACTTTTGCTGTGTTCTTGAAATCTCAGGAGATGTACTAGACAAGGCATTTTAGTGTAGTAAAAGGAAGCAATCTTTTTCTAGTTTAAGGGTGAAATTACTATAAAGTTGCAAGAGTAGAGGTGGAAATGGCTGGAATGCAATCCGTCTTCAGAAGTAGAGTGGGAAATGGAAATGACTGGTTCCCCAAATTACCATTTGGGGTAAATATTGCTTTTTTCTACTCTATCTCTGTTTCAGTGTTGGCTTCATTCTATCTGTACAGCTCTCTATGACATTCAAACCACAAGACAAAAAATGGCTGTGTCGTGGTATTCGAGTAGTGAAGAAACTAATAGAGAAACTGAATGCTATTGGTGACAATTCCAAATCCTCATGGGAAAGGATTTTGATTGTCTTATTCCCACATACCTGGCCTGTGTGTGAGGGCACACTGAAATAACATGACTATGAAAAGAGACTAACATGTTTATCTAGACAATAGATCATATATGAAATTGGGATCTATAATTTAAGACAAATACTAATTCTCTTGTCCATTCAACAAATATTTAATGAATATTTACTATGTCTTATCACTGTCTTAGTCATAAATGTTGAATATGCAGATAGTAAACAAGATAAACGAGATATGAGGGAAAATTGTCACAATTCATAGAAATTTGAGTGGTTTCATACAAAATAAAACAAATGACAAAGCAAAACACTACTACATTGCTAGCTAGAGATGAAAATAAGGAAGAAAAATCCTTTAAAACCTAAAGTAATTTCTTAAGTTCCTAAAGACAGAAATGAATCCAGAATGAAATTTAAGATCACTATTGACCCTCTAAATATATCATTTGGGTCACTCTTAGAGGAAGAGAAACTGTAAAACCTTTATAAGAAATTTGGTCAATGAGTCCTAGTTACATAAATATAGATGAGATCTATGTATATAATGGAGAAATATACATTTATTATCCACTCATACAATTTGAAACTTATAGGAAATAATGGTAAAATCACTATATTTTCTTTACATGGACTCCACTTACTATAAAGTGCCAATACTGGACAGATCATATATTGTGGAGAGAAGTTACTATCAGCATAAATAAGCCATAATGTGGTTTTAGGAAGGAATGAAATTTTATATTAAATGGAGAGCTTTGTAGCATATTCAAAAGTATAATTTGAAATACTGTATCATCCAATACGGTAGTATTATGAAGATTTTGGTAAATAGTCTCTGCTTTCAGGGCCCAGTAAGAAAACAGAGAATGGGGCATCCAGAGTATTCTGGGTTTTTTGTTGTTGTTGTTTTGTTTTTTTGGAGTCTCGCTCTGTTGCACAGGCTGGAGTGCAGTGGTATGATATCAGCTCACTGCAACCTCTGCCTCCTGGGTTCAAGTGATTCTCCTTCCTCAGCCTCCCAAGTACAGGTGCCCACAATCACACCTAACTAATTTTTGTATTTTTAGTCAAGACGGGGTTTCACTATGTTGGCCAGGCTGGTCTCGAACTCCTGACCTCAAGTGATTTGCCCACCTCAGCCTCCCAAAGTGCTGGGATTACAGGCATGAACCGCCACACCTGGTTAAAGAGTATTCTGTTCTTGAACCACTTATTGATCTTAGATCTTACTCTTTTTAATCTCCATTGACTACCTTATCCAATCACAAAATGTTAACTTGTCACTAGAATCTGATATCTCCTACCTCTCCAAAGGAATATTCTACTACACCTGAAACTTTTTCTTCATCAACATTATACTGTAGCTTCCCTGGGATTAGGAGTCACATGTGATTTATTTGCACATATATGCCTAGTGTCTAAAACAGTGCACACTGAGTACACATTTATTAACTCTGATTCAGGGGCTTCCTTCTAAGCCTTATACTACTCCCATTGAAATGCCCTTCTCTTACAATGCACTCACCTCATGAGCTTCTGTTCATTTTCTCATGATTTAATTCAAGCACCCCTTTGATGAAACTTTTCCTGAATCCTTCAGAATAAGCCAATCCCTCAGAATGAGCCAAGTTTTCCTGAATCCTTCAGGTAACCCAGCATGCACCCCACCCCTACCATTAACATAAGACCACAACTTCTTTCTGATTCTGGGTTCTTATTTGTGTCTTAGCAATGATTTTATATATATATATATATATATATATATATATATATATATATATATATATAAAATCTCACACCCACACACCAACACATACATATCACATATAAAACACAATTTATCATATATGTATATATGTATACAAATACAGTATTTGTAATATGCCTATGTATACACACACACATATATATATATACAGTACTTATGTATTACATATCTATAATCCTCAACATGATTGTTGAAGTCAAGGACAATAAATGCCATTGTTTACTTGGGATTGCAGACGTGTTTTCCTAAGGATTAGAGAGGTGTAATACATAATATTGCATATGACATGAATCGGTATATGCCATAATAGAAACGATTTTTTTTAAAAAAAAACAAAAGATATGTGAAACAAAAAATAAGTTAGGAAGCAAAAACTAAGTGCTATTAGAGTTGTCATTAAATACATATATTAAAATAAAGATATGCACATGGGTTAATACAAAGTTTAGATGAACTTTTTAGAGATGCTAGTAGTTAGGAACCAAAATTTACTTTTGTGAAAGAAATAGCTTACTTTTTATCCAGGCAGAAATCTTGGCCCTCCTTATCTTACTTTTTGCAAATCTGTTCATTCTAATAACATATCTTACTTTTTAATTCAAATAGTTTCTAACACAGTATCGACCATATATCAAAAATATCTACATGCTACTTTCATATTGCTAAAAGTTAAAAATGGTCTAAAGTCTATTTTTTATTATTCTATGCTTTTATCTTACAAGACCATAAGAATTACTATAAAATACATAAAAAGACATTTTCATGTTATTTAATACAATGACTGTCATTTACAATAGTCACAACTATTTGTATTATCAGTGAAATTTAGTTCCATGTATAGAAAAGTAAAGCAAACATAAGAAGAAAAACACAGATCTTTAGATTGCATTTTAAAATTTTTCTATTATTCCAATCTAATAGACTGTTTAAATTATTTCTTTTTCCTGCTTCAGAATTCAGCTTACTTTGTTAGTTTGTCTATTCTATAATGTCATTGAGTTTCTTGTCATATGTCCTAAGATAGTTTGTATGTGTTCCCTTCTTTAAACAATAGCTCCCTCAAAAAGTAAGTTCTTTTGGGCCGGGCGTGATGGCTCACACCTGTAATATCAGCACTTTGGGAGGCCGAACAGGGCGGATTGTCTGAGCTCATGAGTATGAGACTAGCCTGGGCAACACGGTGAAACTCCGTCTCTACTAAAGTACAAAAAATAAGCTGGGCGTGGCGGCATGCGCTTGTAATCCCAACTACTCAGAAGGCTGAGGCAGGAAAATTGCTTGAACCTGGGAGGCAGAGGTTGCAGTGAGCCGAGATCGTGCCACTGCACTCCAGCCAGGTGACCAAGTGAGACTCCATCTCAAAAAGCAAAAGACAAAAAACAAAAGAGAGAGAGAAAAAAAATGTAGTTTCTTTTAAGGCCCTCTAATTCTATGATTCGGATATCCTTAACTATCTACTTTTGATAAACAAAGACCTCAAAATTAACCATCAAAATTATTAAAAACTTTTGACACATAACTTACAGAAACAGAGTTCTATCAGTCAAGTAGACAGTAAGGAAATACCTTCGGTTCATTTGCTTTACTAGTCCAACTATGAGAGTCGTTTTAAAAATGGATATTGTAAGCCATACAGTGTTATTAATGTTTTGAGGTGGTTCATTTTCTTAGGTTGTTACCAATTTTAGACATATTTAGTACACTCAAAATATTTAAATATCACTCTTTTCACTATTTACCTAAGTATAGAATTATTAAAATTATCTTAGATCTCTAAAAAAATTACTATCCAATAACCGGTTTATTACATCAGTATTCAAAACATTTAACGTAAATTTATATGAAAGTGCTTCTAAGAAGTGTGTAAAAGTTACTGAAAACAAGACCAAATATATTCTAGGGATGCTATTGTTTAAAATGTATATTAGTAATTCTTGTATAAGAATAAATTTTTAATTGTGCAAAGACCACATCCCCATCTCACTTTGTCAAAGTCCCCTTCAAGTTCAGATTTTCCCAAACATATTCCAGTTAAAGCAAAATTAAAGAAACTGGAAGCATTAGCACTAATAGCCAGTTTAACATAGCATAGATGAAAGCAAAATAATAATAATAATAATTTCCAAAAGGACTGATTGAGCAACTTCAAGTATACATATACACATTTGTGTTCATGCGTGTATTGATCTACGTAAGTACTTTCCTATGAGTCTACTTTAAATAACTTGTAGGTTTTCAAAACCACATGCTTTTCTTCCCTTCCCTTCCCTTTTCTTTTCTTTTCTTTTTTATTTTGTTTAATAACAGTGTTAGTCTCCTTATGTGATATAAAATAGTCTAAAAGTCCGAAGTGGCAGAAAAGAGGCAGAAATGGAGATGACTGCCTGAAATTATCAATTGTTATCTGATTTGTCCTCTGACTCTCCTAGTTCACAGCTTGTCAGAAAAAGATTTGCTAGATGTCATGTACTACATGGTGACAGAACCTTTTATCAATCTTAGGGCAACAGCAACTGCTTTAAACTCGGGAGCGTCAGTCATTATGGCTTTCTTACTCTTGTTCTTTTCCTGGGTGTGTTTTGCTATCTCTTATCTTTTGCCTAGAGTCACAGTGCCTGCCAGGCAGAAGAGCACACCTTCCAGGTATCAGCACACAGGTCTACCTGTATGCATCATGACACCACTGTTCACTCACAAAGAAGAGAAAGAAAGCCAAAGCTTTACCCGCAGAAAGGAGAGGTCTCGGTTGTGCTCAATGCTGGTTATCTCCAGGTTGCCCATGACAACCTCACAGTTTTCATAGTACTTGCGCAAGGCTCGGTACTGCTGTTCCAGGTCAGAGAGAGAGCTCAGTTTATTCTCCGTTCCTGCACACACTGCAAAGACAAGAAGATAAAGATGAAATTATATAACCTTTATATGATATGCACAATAATATCTTCCTCAAAACTCTCTATTCCACAAGTCTATCCCAGTTCTCTGAATATAAATATTTTGATTGTCATTAAGAGGCATAGACCCACACACTGATAAATATTTTCACTTTTAAATTCCCAGATTACATGTGCTAATCACAGAGAGCAGGAAGGCATACACTCCACAGAAATACATAGCAAGGAGATAAACTTAATCCCATTTGTTATGACCATATAAAGCAAGTAAATACATTTACTTTTATTTAAACATTGTTCTTTTAGGACATACAATTTACTCTGTTTTCTAATTGAGTAATTCTACAAATGTAAATAAATCAAAATCAAAAGATAGTGAAAGTGACAGTTATATTGAAAACATAGTTATTGTATAAGCTGTTCCAGCTGAGTAAATTTTTTACTAAATAAACTTGCACCTACAAGACCTCAAACATGCTTTATTATTATTTTTTTTAACTTTTATTTTAAGTTTAGGGGTACATGTGCAGGCTTGTTTACATAGGTAAACCTGTGGCATGGGGGTTATTCATATAGATTATTTCATCACCTAGCTATTAATCCTAGAACTCATTAGTTATTTTTCCTGATCCTCTCCTTCCTCCCATCTTCTATTCTCCAGCAGGCCCCAGGGTATGTTTTTCTCCTCTATGTGTCCATGTGTTCTCATCATTTAGCTCCCACTTATAAGTGAGAATTTTCAGTATTTGGTTTTCCGTTCCTGCTTTAGTTTGCTAAGGATAATAGCTTCTAGCTCCATTCGTGTCTCTCCAAAGGACATGATTTCATTCTTTTTCATGGTTGCATAGTATTCCGTGGTATATACGTACCAGGTTTCTTTATCCAGTCTACTATAGATGGGCATGTAGGTTGATTCCATGTCTTTTCTATTGGGAATAGTGCTGCAATGAGCATACACGTGCATATGTCTTTATAATAAAATGATTTATATTCCTTTAGGTATATGCCCAGTAATGGGATTGATATGTTGAATGGTCTTTCTGTCTTTAGGTCTAAATTGAAATATTTGTAAACATATACTACAAGCAAGATATGTAAAAAATACAATTTTTATTGTTATCAACTGGAATATCACTGTATATATTCATGAGTTTCTGAGGTATAATGGACTGATAACAAATAATCCGTCTGCCAGGTTCTGTTCCTATGTGAGCACATAAGTTTACACAAATTTTTTTGTTTTATTTTGTTTTCGTTTGTTTTTTAATTTTGTGGCTGGGCATGGTGGTTCACACCTGTAATACCAGCACTTTGGGAGGCTGAGGCAGGTGGATTACCTGAGGTCAGGAGTTCCCAACCTAGGCAACATGCAGAAACCCTGTCTCTATTAAAAATACAAAAATTAGCTGGGCATGGTGGCTCATGACTGTAATCCCAGTTATTTGGGAGGCTGAGGCAGGAGAATCGCTTGAATCTGGGAGGTGGAGGTTGCAGTGAGCCGAGATCATGCCACTGCACTCTAGCCTGGGCAACAGAGTGAGACTCTGTCTCAAAAAAAAAAAAAAAAATTGTGTGTGACTTCCAGAAGCCAGACTTTTTGGTACTATTCTTATGGTTTATATGCCTTCCAGAGCACTATCTTCACCACTCAATGTACTGACTCTAATCTTAAGTAGACTAAAAATATATATTATAAATCTATTAACAATGGTATGTAAAGTTAAAGAAAATGGTTTGGAAATGAATCTTCTTCAGGTAAGTTACATAAGATATGCTGAATTTAAGGCAAGATACAAAGTGGAGACTGCAAACACACTAGGAACACGGCTTAGTAATGTGTTATATATGGTAACATATTACCTTATATATTATAATATATATAAGGTAACATATTACTTATATAATATATATAAGGTTTATATTACCTCATATAATATATATATAAAAGACTCATGTCTTATATACACAGAAGTAAAAAATATGTCATGATGTCTGATGTTGTTTTCAAAGGGATGAATTCCTGTAGAGGAAGGAAAACATCTAGATGGGTATAGCCTGATAATTAAGACCACCTTAAATCCTGTTTTTGCCTATGAGCACATCAAAAGTAACAAAAATCTTAATCCAAAAATCTTGAAAAATAATATATGTCTGTAACCATAGTGGAAATTCATTATAAAAACAAAGCCCAAACTTTTAAAGTCTGGATTTCTAAAGTTCCCCAAACAGTGTATTCTCTTGAAGTACTCTGTTACCAGCTAAATTGTGTGTCCCTAAAAGATAAGTTGAAGTCCTAATTCCCATTACCTAGAATGTGACCTTATTTGGAAATAGGGTCTTCCTAGATGTAAATCAAATTAAGATGAGGTCATTTGGGTGTTCCCTAATTCAACATAATGATAATAAAGCTTGTTCAACCTGAAGCTATTAGGCCACATGCAGCCCAGGATGGCTTTGAATGTGACCCAACACAAATTCATAAACTTTCTTAAAACATTATATTTTTTGCTGGGCTAAGTGGCTCATGCCTGTAATCCCAGTATTTTGGGAAGCCAAGGCGGGTGGATCACAAGGTCAGGAGATCGAGGCCATCTTGGCCAACACGGAGAAACTCCGTCTCTACTAAAAATACAAAAAATTAGCCGGCCGTGGTGGCGGGCACCTGTAGTCCCAGCTACTCGGGAGGCTGAGGCAGGAGAATGGTGTGAACCCGGGAGGTGGAGTTTGCAGTGAGCTAAGATCGCGCCACTGCACTCCAGCCTGGGCAACAGAGCGAGACTCCGTCTCATAAATAAATACATATTTTTTAAAAACCCACATTATATTTTTTTGAATCAGCTATGGTTAGTGTTAGCATATTTACGTGCAACCCAAGACAATTCTTTTTTCAATGTGGACCAGGGAAGCTCAAGGTTGGACAGCCCTGCTATAAGAAGAGGAAAATACCATGTGCACACAAAGACAATCAGGGAAGAAAGCCCTGTGACCAGAAAGGCAAAGGGTAGAGCCATATAAGTATAAGCCAAGGAATGCCAAAGATTGATGGCCACCACCAGAAGTTAGGGAGTGGCAAGGAAGAATTCTACCTGGAGTTTCAAGGGGAGAATGAGCCTGCTGTCACCTTGGTTTTGAATTTCTAACCTCCGGAACAGTGAGAGAATAAATCGCTATTGTTTTAAGCCACCTACTCTGTGGTATGTTGTTAGAGTAGCACTAAAACAATCTTTAGACTATTTGTCTCTAAATCCCACATTAAATAAATGTTAAAAAATCACTTCCTCTCTCTCCAGGGTCCTATCAGCTTATAACCTCCATGCTACTCTTCCATTGCTCCCTCCAAGCCCCTTATACATCATGCTGGAATTCATTTATTGCCTTTGATAATGCAGATTTTGTAGAGTGATACGGATGGATGCTATGGTAAAGACCTCTAAAATCTTTAATATCCATTTTCCTCCTCCTTCATTGTAATAGACTGCACGATTTTTAGCTGGACACGTGGTCACCCAAAATAAAGATTATATTTCTCTCCTTCCCTTAGAGGTAAGTTTGGCCAATGGACTAAGTTCTGACATGTTGCATGACACTTTTCCAGAACTTGATTTCAAACATGGTTGAAGCCTGACTTTGCCTGGTTGCTTCATAATTTCTTCCAGCTTGATGCCAGAAATGCAGATGTCATGGCTAAAACATGAGCCATCATCTTAGACCATAAGAATGAGTGATACATCTTAGAGATGGCTGAGAACTGAGCTAAAAGGAAGTAGGATTTTCAAGCAATAGATATTTTACATTGTTATATTATCAATATCATCAAGATGATGATGAATATTGGCCCCGCCTGCTAAAATGTTACATACAGAAAGGATTAAATTCTAGTTGTGTTATATGCTTTTGACTTTGAGTAATTTTAACTATTGTGCTTGGTTTGACTGAATTTGCTAACTATATAATGAAATTACAAAATCATTCCTAATCATAACAACATTTTATTGCCTCTGTGGAATGTTCTCTTATTATTAAAACAAGCACCCAAGAAATGATATTCAACATAAGCAGGAGAATAAGAAAAATTGATTGATGTGCATATTTCTTATAAACCAAGATCAAAGTCCAAGATATTTTTCATTATATATTAAAGGTCCTTTTGGAAAAACGTTAATCCATGATCTTTATTTTATTGCTCCCAGTAAATTTATACAAAATCTTTATAAACTTATGACTGCTGAGAAATGGTATTATTATATGAGTTTATGAAATATACATTTTAATTATTTCAAATTCCAATGAGGACGAACATATTTTAATACAACTAATTATGGGGGTAATATAAGCATCCATTAATAAATTTGCCGCACCATTTCTAAAGTATATCCAATAACACATTGCAACCTATGTATAATTTATGTTGTATAGTTTCTCTCAATTGGAAATAATATTCATACTTTAATATTAATATAAAAAATCAATATGTAATAATCTAAATGAAAATGTTTTCAAAATATTTGGTGTATTCTGACGTTTTCTATAGAAGCATAAACAACCTTTGAGAGGTGCATCTATTACTATAACTGCAATACCTAGGTAGTTTTACACAATTCCCATTCTACATATATAAAAAGGTATACAATATTAGACTCAATATAATATTATACAATATTACTTGAATCTGGATAGTTATAAATTCATGGTAAGTTCTCACTGTTGATATTCATTTAAATATTTGTATAGTATAAATACTTAGGATTTTGTTTAAACTTCTTATAATGAACATATGCTACCCTACATTGAAATAATTCATTTAATTGATACCAGAACAATTATAACTCGTATTCAGAAAATGGCCCTCAACTATTGCTATTGCTCAATAAATGATCAGGTAAGTTTTGTATATACCTTCTTAAAATGGAAAATTTGAATAAATATGTTTAGAAATATTTTTTGACAAAAAAAGATGCTCCAAAAAACAGAAAATTAATCACAAT